TTAGTTGAATCAAATTCTAATTTTTTTTTAAACAGCAAGTTTTTTCTCTAATATAAGATAGGAGAGCACAAATTTTCTTACATAAATGCATACATAAGGCATAAGAAAATCCACTAACCAAAGTCTTCTATTTTATGAAAAAGAAGAAAATGAAGAATTTTGATTGGTTCTTTTTATGCATTACGTATTATACTTTATGCAAGACTCTGGTATTTATTCCCTTCTTTCTACAATAAGTCATTATCTAAGTTTTAAGTCTTAAGTTATAAGAAACTGACTAATGATAACCGATTATTATTCTTCTTACATTCGACTGTGATTGGTCAATTTCTTATCACTTTAAGATTTAAAACTTAAGTATATAACAGCTTATTGTAGAAAGCCCATTAACGTTAGCTAGATATGTTTACAGACGAGAGATTAACAGTTACGAGATGAGATAACGAGCATCGATCGCGACAATCGCCGTAGAACCGTCGCAAATCGGATCTCATTCGCACGGCCGTTACAAAGATTCGTCAATACGCTCCGCTTCGAGAGACCCGTCGAGAAAGATCGTCGTGGTAATTTGTTACTTTGCGAGATGATAGGCATTTGATAGATCACCGAGGCGCCGACCGCGCGAAATCAGCCCGGAACGAAAGGACGATTCACCGGCGTTTCCGACGGCACGGCGGCAGCCGGCCGTCGCGCGGCACGGCGACGCGACGTGTCTCGGGGGTCGAGAACCCCTAGATTTCTCTCTTGCCTTCTCTATCAATTCCCCTTTCTCACTCTTTCTCTCTCCCTCTCTCTCCCCCTCTCTCTCTCTATCTCTTTTTCTCTTCGTCTCTACCTGACTCTACGAGTAGGTAGATAAATCCACCGCCTACTACTGCCTCGCCAGCGTGGCTGAGCGTGGCGGACAATGCGCTCAGGACGGCGCATCATCGTCCGTATTGTTTGCTCGGCCAACGGGCGCAGTGCGCACCGCCCGGCTTTCCTCACAGGTGCTGGAACCTCGAAGGTGGAGGAGAGCGCGGAGAACCGAGGACGTGTCTACGCACTTTAGCCATCACGTAACTGGTAACATGACGGCGCGCGCAACGGCATGCGGGATATTTCCCGGAAATTAAGTCGCTCATCCGCAGAAGCTGCTCCTCGTGTTCCTTCCACGCGTGGAAATATTCCACGATTTCAGGATGTCGCTCGTCGCGCATCGTGCTTGTCGCGCGAGTTCCGCGAAAGTGATCGGGATCGGCGGTAGTCGCGTCTTAATGACGTGGGAACGCGCGCATCGCAAGTTTCGGTTTGCGATGCTTTCGCCTCGCGGAGACATCTGAGGAAAAAAAAGAGACTGAGAGGGAGAGGAAGAGAGAAAGCAACCCTCCTCCTTAGGACGAAGAGCTTTTCTCAGTAAGCCGTCAGCGCGTCTATGTGTCCGGCATCGACAGACGGCGAGCAGCAAAAACGCTTCTTTGTAATAATAATGACTTCCATCTGCGCGACCAATGTGTATCATTTTTGGCATGATAGAAAGAAATGTTGCGTGTTGTCACGCTTGCACGGCGCCCCTGCAACATCGGGGCGAGAGATTGGCGCACCTGCGGATCTCACCGTCGCGTCGAGACTGTCGACTGTCGAGAGGAAAGCGGAAGAGAGTTCGGTACGATTCCTCATCATACGACTGTTCCCGGAACGAGGGGAGACTTCTGACTTCCTCTCTCTCTCTCTCCCGCTATCTTTTCTGCTCTCCTCCACTTATTACCTTTCCTCTCCTAATTCTCGTCGTTCTTCTTCGGCTCGTTCGTCTTCGTTCTCGCCCAATTCCCTTTTCTTTTCCCGTCGTTCCTTTTTTTTCCCTTCTGAGGTCGCGGAGTAGAAGTGCCACCGTCACCGTCGCGCCTGATTCCCCTCTTTTTTTTAGACGACCACGTATATTTCCACGAAATCGTTCCACTGTACACCAATTTCGGCGCGACGTGGTGGCACGGTCGCTAGAGGAAAATTACAGAGTTCGGGGATAAAAGGTGCAGTAGCGGGGGCAGAGGGCGCGGCAAGGACGCAAAGAGATGGAAGGAGACCCCGAGTGGTCCTGTGGATATAGGGGAAGAACCATCAACCACGGCGCGATAATCTGAGACCGAAGAAAGGAAAGAACCGAGGTCTCTCTCGTCATTAAGCGAAATGATTGCCGTTCGCGGGCGGTGGGGACCACCTACACCCGCAAAGAGGCCCTTCGAGGACGGGGGCACCCCAAGGATACTGCGAGGATACAAGGATCTTTACGCGTGTACCTTTGTACCTTTACAAGAGTACGAATGGGAACCCCGCGGTTTTGTCGATCCACTTCCGGCGGAGCCAATCAACCGACCAAGTCGACCGCCCAAGAAAACGCTACTATGCCATAGAATAAGTATTTCGAAAGATCAAAAACGAGCCGTCGTGTCATTATTCTCCAAGTAAGATAGATGTACCGGTAAATGGCTGTTTAAGAAATATCGTTAGCCATTTCGAATTTCTATTCTGCACCCGAGTATTAGTTAAGACTCCACCGAAGTTAAAGAACCACCGGCTTTGTCGCAAGCGGTCACTTTGTGATGACTTATTTTTTTCGCAATTCAATCGCGTGGAATTAGATCCGTTTTTAATTTCGAAGAAATCGAATTGCATCAAGAGAGGGATGAGAAAGATAGGCGGAAATATGTGTGTTGCTTTCGAGCGTAGGCTATGACGAGACGTTGCTAGTTGCTTGCTAGGCCAAGTCAGCGTGCGATCGAGTTACGCGTTTCAAATGTCCGTTGGTCGTGACTGCTCGCTCGAATTTCGTAAAAAATACTATTTGGAGGCGAGAAAACGGAAGTCGAGACGATGCTGACGATAAGATCTTTCATATATCGTGCGCACAATAATCTTAAGTGTGCTATTTTGTCTCTCTTTTCACTTGCAATCAAAAATGGTATCTATTATTTTTCTATTTTTTTTTACCAATTTTTCTGATACATGTTTTTTTAATTAAAATTAAGAAACTAAAAATTGTGAGAGGTGCATTTAATGTTTATCTTTTTTATTTTTTATTTTGATCAGTTTTTAAGGAATGTATTAGGTGTATAGTTTTTTCGCAAATAGTGGCTGAAATTGGAAATGTATACTTCCTGTACAAAAATAAACGTTATATGTAAATGTGAAATAATTCACTAAGTTCAATATATTTATACTTAACAATTTAAATGAATTTTTTTTCTTATTTTATTTTAATTATTTTTTAATGAAAAACAAATCTTTTCATTGAAATAATTTTCAATCCAATTTCTAAATTGCTATCAAACTTTTCATATTATTTTCAAATATAATATAGAAAAATTTGTAGTTTTTTAATAATTTTTTAATTTTTAATATTTCCTAATAATGTATAATTCCTAATGTAATATTTCCTTAAACTAAAATCAATAATATAAATATCGCTTGGATATTTCCATGTTATTCCATTACTTTATTCGAAGAACATTTATACGGTCCATATTCGTTAAACAATTATTCCATAGTAAAGAGGTAAGCGTGAATGTTCCTGTAAATGGATATGGTATACAAAGTATTCCATTTTACAAAGACACGATTCAGAAAGATAAAGAGCATTTATGGACGTCATAAATACAATTTTTCGTCAAGTTTCGTGACATTTCGAGGAGGTCTTCCTATTTCAGTCTTTCAAAAGAGTTAACAACCGTGGACATGTAACGCGCGTCGTGCGGCAGAAAGTACACGGGGATATTTTCTCACGACGGCGGTTCACGCGACTGGCAGCGTAAACAAACGGGCGACGACGTCGCGAAACGACAGCGTAGAATAGTAGCACTCGGTGGAAGAGACTTGGGGCCCCCGGCGAGAGAGAGCCGAAGAGAGTAGGAGACTGCACGCGCGGGGTAGAAAAAGAAAGGAGGGCGACGGCGGGCAGCGATGCCAAGGGGATTTGTCGAGCTCGCGCACTGTGGAGGGGCACCGAAAATTGAGTACTGGTGGGGGTGATGGGGACCAGCCGCATAATGACAGGGTGCCTCGCGCCAAGGCTCCGCTAACGAACCAGCCCACGGAACCCAAAGGGTCCGGGCTAGGACACGACACTGTATTATTTTACCATTTCGGGGGTCGGGGGCATCATCAGAAATCATCGCCGAATCCATATAATCAGTAGACGGTTACGTGCAGCCATGATTTTAAGTGCTGCACAGTGAGGTAGAGTGGGAGAAAAAGACAGGACGAAAGAAGAGGGAGGGAGGGGGCTTAATAAGGCAAGATCGTAGGTGCCTCCACAACGTCCTCATTCTCGTTGTCCTTTTCAACGACTCGTGGACTCCACTCTCGACGCGGATATCCCCTATATGAACTCGTAGAATTTATTGCAACTGCTAATAATACAGATCCATTAAAAAGCAAAAGCATATGCAGACCCCCTCTCCGTTTTATGGTCTTTTTCCACATGAGGAAATATGTAAAATAATATGCGCTAGAGTTCTAGTAAATTTTATGGAATTAGCAGATCCATGCTATATAAAGACAGGTATTTATGTAAAATTTTTACTTTACTATTCTAATAAATGAGCGATTATCATATAATCATACTGTAACACGGACATATTGTAACGAAAAAAAAATTTGGTTGAATTAACTGGAATCCTGGTGGTAAATGAATGAATTTTGCTTAAATCTACTATATTTCTGATTAAATCTAGTGAATGTTGGTTATTTCAACTAGAATTTTAACTAGAATTTTTATAGATTTTACCAGAAATCTTGTAGATTTAACTTGAATTCTGGATTTATTTTCCAAATTTCCATCAGAATTCTAATTAATTCAATCAAACATTTTTTTCTGTGAAGATACTTGTTACATTTCGTGAAGTAAATGTTGAGAATTGTTCACACTTAATATAATTATTTTATTGTAAGATAATCACTTGAATAAATTTACTATAATTGTAATGTACTTTTTATTTTACACCATCTATATTTTTAGACAAAAGTTTGTCATGTATTCAGCAAAGAAACCAGAATATTTTTTAGTCTTGTATAAAGATAAAAATTATTCAATCACATTTTTCTCCGTTCATTCTTGTCCGTAGCGACGCCATTTTGATACTGCGAAAGGTGGTCCTTCAAGCAATGAGGTTGCGAATGCAATGGCAGAATTCCGAGGCGTGATGAAGGGAAGACAAAACTGCGGGGTGGAAGGGAAGAAATCTCAGAAGTCTGTGTGTAACCTCTGGGAATTGACGGGGTTGAGAGATCCCGAGCACTTCTCGACATTTTTTCGTCCGTTTCCATCCCGAGAGCGTGTCTCTCGATAATTGAAGACAAATTGCTTTGAAAGCCTGTAACTGCAAGAGTGTACACTCGGCAGTACTAACTTGACACTTTTTACTATTGGATGGATTTAGCAAGAAAACATGGATGCGCCTTGAAAAAGTACATTAGCGTAAAAATGCGCGACTTTGTAACACTCTTACTCACTCTTACTCTGAATAATGGACAATAATTGCTAACCGCGCATGCACGATGTCTAGTGAGCTAGAACGTATGTTCACGAGTTAACATTTCTCTATTACTCGTTCTTTACATAACATTATTGCCCGGCTTTCCAACACGCTTGAAGTTTCTCATTGCCGATTCCTAAAAAACTCGTAACTAGTCGTAGCGAGTCACAATTTAACAGCGCATCGCTATCAAGTTTGTTAGCGATTGATTGATACTTACTGTAATTTGTGAAAGCTCCGTAATGATTCTCATCGATATAACGGAGTGAAAAGCGAGTTTAATGTGCAAGTCCTCGATATTGTATTCGCGCGAAAGCCCGCAGAGGTCGGAAGCAAACTTAATGAAGTGCAATGCGCGGAGCACACCGTGAAAGTTGATCGATAAAGATCTAAATGAAAGTCGCGGAGGGAATATAAAATGCTCTCCGGAGAGCAACTACTTTGCGTAGGACCGACCGGTTTACCGGGGAAAAGAGAGGAAGGACGTTTCGCACGTTACGTGTTCTACACTGATTGGGAACTTGCCATCTATAAGTCAGAGCTCGTCTCGAATGAAAATAAATAATTTAGTTCAACTAGGCGTACCGTGCACACGTACCATATACGGAAAAAAAATTAATTGAGTGGTACAACAAATCTATAACTTACTGCGCGAATTCAACATCTATAACTAGGAAGATTTGATGGTTCAACAAATCGCTAATGTTATTCAGCTGTCAACTTTGCCATTTTAACATAGAAAATTGACTGTCTGCATATTTCGATTGCAGATTTGCTAAAGTTTTCAGCTGTTTTTTTTTTCGTGATGTATTCACATAAAATAGGAAAAAAAATAGATTAGATTGTTCAACAAAGTTATAGCTTGTTGAGTGAGTTCATCTATAATTAAAAAGATTTGAGATGATTCAACAAAGAAATCGTGGATTGTAAACAATTCAGTATGCTAATTCAGTAAATTCTTTGTTGTGATAAAAATTGCTAATGTAATAAGTTTCCTTCATTACAGCAACAAAAGTACATGCCATCTTAGCTTGCATGTTTTGTTCAAAATTTTGATCTGTATATTGAATTGATTTTCATAGAAAGTTTTTGCTGCATTAACAAATTTGCTGTGTTATTACAACAAATATTTATAATATTTAATTTATTTTATAATTTATTTATAATTATTTTATAATATTATAATATTATTATAATCTATAATATTATAATTATTATATTATAATTTATTTTATAATTAATTTATTTTATAATATTTAACGATTACTTATAATCGTTAATTTTATTCAATTGTATTATTTTAATATAGAAAGCTAGCTGTTTGTATATTACGACTATAGATTCACAAATCAATGAAATTTTTAGTTGTTTTAACAGATCTTTGTTTCCCATATTCCCCTTTTGCTTTCATGTATTACACTATAGAACATTTGCATCGCGAAATTATTATATAAATGATGGTCGTTGATTTTATCGTTAATGAATCGTTAGTGATTCTCAACGCATTGTTACTTTCAAATCTATTAGGTCTCAATTAGAGCATTTCTTATCCTTCTATCTGGGATAAACAGTGAGAACGATTTTAATTTCCCTCGCGTTTGTCTTTGTGAAAAGATATGGGAACGAATAAATAAAATGGGAAATAATTTAGACCCGAAGGAGTGCGGAATTCTTGAGTTCTCGTGAAAGTGTAGAAAAAATAGACCTCGATCCAACACGTAAGTGTCAGGATGTTAGGCACCACGACACGCATTATTTCGATAATTAGAAAACTTTTTCTCGGACGAAGATATCGATGCCGTCTTCTCACGAACTGGTCGACGAACCGAGAATTTGGATCTTGTTCGCGGGTTCGGTCTATAGATAACGTATGTCTGAACGATCCGGCCAAAACTTCCTTCATGTTCTGCTCTAATCTATTTTCAACCACCTCTTGTTTTCCTGAATTATCCGGCGACAGGATGTTCTTTATGGAAACATTTCAGGAAGTCTTCTATGGCAATGACTTACAACGATTAAGATATAAATCAGAAAATGTTTCTGGCATGGTGCTTTTTCCAATGAGATAACTAAATTTTTAATCGACTGTTTTTAATGAGAAGAAAAATAAGAATGGTACAATTATTTCAAGATTCCTCACTGCAGCTATCTTGGATTGTGATGTCAGAAACGAGAAAAATACATAAAGAAAATTCTTGCAAATTAAATTAAAATATATTTTTTAATAAAACATTTGCAATTAATAGAATAGATTATAATAAAATATATTGAAAACTTCTCTTATATTCCAGTAATCAATAAATAACTCATATATATTTGAAACTGAATTGTGTCTAATCACAAAACAAATATATAATAGCTAAGTATACATATGACAGCTGAAGATAGATATGATTTTATTAAAAATAAAAAAATGTTTTATATTTCTTAAGTATGCACTATTAAATGCAAAAATTATTTTATTGAAAAATGTTTCTTTAAAAATATATTTACAAGAACTTTCATTATGTGATCCATGAGTGATCAGCAGTCTTAGAGTCGTGGCACACAGAAGAACTTGAGCAGTAAGACGTAAGCAGTAAGGAAATCAACATGTTGGATTCGCTACTGCTTACATTATAGCCTTATGGTCTCTACTGTGATTGGCCAATTTGCTTACAGTTTACGTTTTACTGCTTAGTCTTTTGTATACTATAGCCCTTAACACCTTAGCAGAATGGGTATCTATATCTTTGCTACATTTGCGTTTTAATTCTCGTCGTGCATTCATATAAGTCCTGAAATACTAGCGACGCCACGTTCAATCAGTGACAAAGGAGGCTTGAAGGCCTTGGCTATGGGATTCTGAATACGTGATATCAACTACTTTACCGCATACGCAGGAGTTATGGCCTTGATCCGGACCGTGGGCAAGTTGCTGCACCTTCGCGTCGTCGTCGCCGTCGCCGTCATCGTTGTTGTGCACACGGTAAATCGTGTGCGTCGCGTGGTACTCACAGGCACGAACACAATGCGCGGTAATTGAGTTACAGAGGCATAGCGCCCTCATGGACAACTCTTCAGCCCCGCCAGCTGCATCCGAATGCATCCTTCAGAATGTATACTAATAGACTGATTTTCTCTTGGATTTTCTTTCGGAAGATCCTTTAAAGCTGCGTCAGCAGTATCCTAGAGATCTCTGAAATTATTACGATGAAACATATCTGACCTGACGTCTCAATAAACACCTAGTTAAATGTAACATATTTGTTAACTGTAATATCCCATTGTTAATTGTAATATCCTATTCAGCAATAATGTGCAACTGTAATATAGCACGTATATTGTTATAATTTTTATATATAACGGATTTAAATAGATTTTCTGTGAAAGATCTTGCGTGGGCTTGAATGCTTTTTATTATTTACTAGTTTTAATTTGTAAAGCCTTTGTCTCTCTATTTTTATATATAATTATATTGTTTTATTTTATTATAATTATATTATTGAATGAGTGATATAACATAACACGTGTTATTATATTTAGTTATATTATAGTTATATTGTTGAATAAAAACACTAATAGACACGTTACATCATATTGTTTAATAGAATATGTCTTTATGATGACTGGATTATTAAATAGACCAAGTAAATACACGGAATATGCTTTTCCTTTCATGTATTCCAATGAGGGCCCAAAAAGCAACTTTGCAACTATTGTAAAATTCTTCAATATGACTGGCCTTTAATACTTCATGCACTTTGTGAGGAACTTGTCTTTAGTTTCTCACTGGATCTAAATGTATACGATCATATTGAAGATTCTTACAACAGTTGAAAAGCTGCTTGTTTTACTGATCGAATATAGCCATCGATATTCTAGAAAACGTTAAAACGCTGCGTTTTCGCACATATATTCGCAACAGAATTAACAGATAGTAAAGCATCTGTCTTCACGTTGGATCCACGTGCAACTTTTTCAGACATCTTTGTCGCACGCTTTCGCTTCTCTTCATTTTTTTTTAAGTCTCATACGCGCGCGTGCATAAACGCATATAATCGCACGTCGCGAGGCTATAACGTTTTTCACACAGCGATGGTGCCGATCGATTATTTCTGATCCAAGTAATAATAATATGTGAATGTAATTGCTCCGTCGTTTAGATTAGCTATTAATTGCTTCCCCCTCGGTGTATTTCATATGATGAGTGTCATTTATGGCTGCGCTGCGATGCCGCGCGAGAAAAACAACTTGATATTGCCTCTGGCGCAATTGGTTGTCTTGCACCGCGGGCCTTCACGTGTATGTATGTGCTTATGACTCAGAAGGATCTTACGAACTACGTACAAATCCGATTTTGCGATTGAGACTTTTCTATTTTAAGAAAAGGAGACAGCGATCATATTTGTCATTCGAATAATATTAAGCTGCCAAATTCAACATTAGAATACGTATTATATTTTTTACAGTTCAAAAATTTAATAAGTCGAGATACAAAGAATAAAAAAGCCAATATCTTATCAGAAAACCCTTTTTTTTAAAAATACCCAGGAAATATTAATTAAAAGTAACTTAAAGTAACATGAATATTATAATTTTACATTCGGCAATATATATGTATTATATTTACATCGTTGAATGTGAAATTATAATATGTACGTTACTTTTAATTTATTTACTAGGTAATTATATATATTTTAATCCCATATATATATAAAATGTATATGTATTACTTTTAATTGATATATCTTAATTTAATCATATAACAACACGAGGACCTGTGCAATCTTATTCTTCTTTGGAGTTATACATCGTTATTTCTACTGCATAAAACATATTTTAGCATATAAATAAATATATTCCTTCCTTATTATTAATATTGAAGAAAGAAGCCTCGATATTAATCTTAGTAATTCCATCTATACTTACAGAGCGATAAGCAAAAATCATAAAAACATTGAGATGGCGTCATCTACCAGTGATCTCTCGTATTAACCGAAGCATGTTGGATTTGGAGCGCAATTGCGAAACGGAAGGCAATTGATGTTTCAGTAATGCTACTTTCCAACTATAAAAGAAAATAATTTTTATTTTTCAAGATATTCTTAGACTATATTAAACATTAAATAGGGAATACATTTCATAGCTCACTAGATTATAACTAATCCTATTGGATAAACAACTAAAGCGAAGCTCTGCTTCCTAAAGAGGCTTAGACTTGATCTATATAACATCTTGACACTTTGACTTTCATTGGAGAGGTCCGAAAGCTATCCAGGAGAAAAAGAAGAAAAGAGCCAAGGTTTCACAGGAATGTTGGGCTAATATTATCAATTCGCTGTATCCTCGTATTGCTCTATCGTGCTTTGTGGAGTGGTTTCCATCGCCAATATCTTAGAGCCGGCATCACCTTGCAGCAGGTCAGCCTCATCTTTTTTCATCTGGGTACTCTCGGCAGCATCAACGAAGGATTCCTCTAAATTTTCCTCTTCATACTCGGTCTCACTACTTTCACGTTTTAGCTGCATCTCTCGCTTGTGCCTTTCGCTAGTCTCGAAAAAGTTCAACAAATCCTCGGTCACGTTGAACTCCAGATCCTCGTTTGTATCCGATTCCGTGTCATTATCTTCCTGAGCGTCATTGTCGTTATCCGCACGATAATTATAATTCTCCCGAAAGCCACGATAGCCTCGATGTTGAGCCAGGGATCTCACTTTGTCGCGCAGCAGTTTATTTTCGTGCTCCAGGGCGATGCAACGTGACCTCCACCAGGTTATGCTATGTCTGAAAACCAACGAGATTCCTTTAATAATCTTCTCTTTGATTTTACCGTTGATTTAACTTGTGAACCTACCGTTTTTGCCATTCCTGGGCCACGGCATAATTCTTCCAGAAAGCATCGGCTTGCATCGTGCCCGTCGCTAGCGTCTGTCGTGCATCCGTAACATACTCGGGGAAGGCCATCCAACGACTCGCGTTGAACCTAACCTCTCGCTCGCGCAGCCGTTTCTTCAAGCGCTTCAAGCGTCGCTTCTTCTTCCACTTCTTTCGTCGTTTCGCTATGGCACATTCCGTCAATTCCATGCTCGATCGCATTTTCTTTATTATGAAAGGTCAGCTGAGTACAACTAATAGCTATACGTCATTGTTTACGTTTCCGTGCACGAACGCCATGAAGCGACGGAACCTGAATATGAATGGAATCTGACAATGTCTCCTTTGCTCTTGGAACTTTTATATAAATAAATAAATCCGATAAAATTGAAAATTGTATTTGTAAAAGAATTGATGTCTTTGATTTCTATCACGAAAGATTTCTCTGTGTATTTTTTCCTATCAATAATAAATTATAATGCTTATTAGTAACATGTTAAATTATTAATTTAATAATATATTAATCCCCCACTTTTTTTAAATAATTAATAAATGGCATTTTAAGGCTGAATATAATGAAACGTTTCTCTATGCATTTTCTCCTATCAATTAATAATAAATTGCAATGCTTATTAATAATATATTAAACTAATTATTAATTTAATACTATGTTACATTTCCAATTTCTATACATAATTAATTGCATTTCAAGAGTGAATACTAATAAACAAAATTCAACAAAAGTATAGAAAAGTCACAAAGTAAGCATAAAAAAATCCTGCAGAATGATGTTACATACACATATTAACAAATTAATATTTATTTATTAAAGCGTATCTTTTATTAATCTTCCGGTCTTTCAAATTATTTTAGACAAAGTGAATAATGTTCTGTTTCTACCAATGTCTAATTTTAATTTTAGTTCGACATAACTCTTCATCTTTTTCTAATTCTATAAACTTCTTATAAAAGTTTGTGTTTAATTCTAAGAATTAGAAAAAGATTAAGTTGAATCAAAATTAAATTTAAGCTACATTGGTAAAAATGGGCATAATAGAAGGGAGAAAACTGCATATTGGGAATATGTGAAAGATTAAATAGGTAATTTTTATTAGAAATGTACAGTAAGCTTTATACAAATCTAGAAAAGAGACTGTAACTTAGGTGTAAGTTACGCGTATATAACACTTATCAAGGTCTAAAGATGTTATCTTTAATCTGTTTCCGCGCATTCGCGCATAACAATCATCGTGAGTTCTTCTACGCATTAAAATATGTGCATGTTTTTACACAAGTATCAATTATAATCTCATTCTTTCGTCTCTGTACACACAGTAAGTGTTATAAATATCTCAAAATTCAACACTACCATTACTTCTCGAAACGTATTCATTACATTCGTATTCTATTATTTAGAATTTGAATCTCGATCAACCACAACGTTTAAAACAAAGAAAAGAATTATATCTACCGTCCAATTAAAAGAAATCTGATTAGAAACATATATTTAGGAACGTGCTTCTTATCGTTTATCTCAAAGCATCGATTTAATTTCGTGAAAGCTGCGTGAAAATTATTGTCAATAATATGTTTAAAATCAGCTACATTTTCAAACAAATCATAAGATAATGTGTAAATCCTCGTTTGCGAAAACAATTATTTTATTCTTTGTTCATGTAGACTTTCAATCAGCTTTCTGTTAGTGAATGATTGTAAAAGTCCAGTCCTGACCTCACATATACGATAGGTTCAATCCGCGTTCAAATGACACTTCATCATCTCCTAATTTAACATTGGCGCTACCTGTGCTATTTCGTCTCGAATTATTACGAGGACCATTGGCTCGGGCATTATTACTAGATGCTTCGTCATCGCTTCCATTCGTTGACGACGACTTATGCAATGGCTCCAGTCCGATAATTACACGTATGTCATCAGGAATTTGATGTTCCACGGACATCAACTGATAGTAAATACCTTCTGCCTTAGAAATTGTCCAAGGCAACTCGATATGAAGTGACAAATCGTTTATGTGCTGTAAACAATAATATCATATGACAGATGCGGATAAATTTATGTTGTTGTTATACTAAGAAAACGTTTTACCTTCAAAATTTCTGTAAATCCGTAATTGTTTTCTATTAAAATATTTTTCTCTGTGTCCAAAATAGCCGCGCATACTAATAAATGAAAGTTTTTACAGGGTAGATCGGTCCATAATATCTCCCATAACTTCAATATATCGATCGCGCTAAATTCTCGCTTGAATAATACTAACAACCATCGAAAGCAAAAGAACATGTTACCAGAATCATGTCTATTTAGATAATATGCTAATTGCGGTTCCGTAGTGCATAATAACGTGTATAATTGACACAATTGGCCTTTCATGCCTTTCTGATCCATCTCGAAATTAGTACTCTGTTTTAAAAGAAAAAAAGGTTATTTATAGGTATTAATATAAGTATTATTACGCAGAGAAAACATCATACTTACTACTTTATCCATGAATCCAACGAAACACCAAAACGCGTCTACTTCATTATCCATTAAAAATAAAATTGGACTAAGAAGATCGCTCATACCCTGAACATATCCTAAATCGAAATTGTACATTATGTAGGTCATGAGAATATCATATAATTGTTCCAAGTGTGGATTACTATCTCCTGCGTAGTAAGGATGTGTTCTGTCTGTCCTGTTAACATCCTTCTCTGGAATGACATTAAAAAATTTAATTTTCATTCAACATAAAAGCACAGTTAGGAATAAGTTATGTATTCTTACAAAAATAACAATTTTGTTGTTTTAATTACCTATCAAACTTTTTCGTTCTCTATAATCAGAAAATCGGCTTTCTTGCGCAGTCGTAAATGTACGCCATTGCAATTTCATCGTAAAATATTCGTCAGTCTTTTTCCTCTTAAGTTCTAATCTTTCGTTATGCGTCGATTTCCATGGGTAATAATTTAATAAAAATTTCCATACTTCAAAACGTAATGATGGACAAATTCCCTAATAAATTATCACAAATATATTCCAAAATTACATTATACATTATATAAAGAATACTCATATTATTGCCGGAAAAATATTTAGATACATACCCCCCGAAAGATAATTTCTTTGATAGCCTCAGGATCAGTGATTCTTCCTTCTCGATCTTTACATTTTTCCCATTGTTCTTGTGTTAACGGCGCACCTGATGGAATTGTAATTTTTATTTAAGCATAAAATAAATATACAATTTAATATATATTATATATAATTTTATATATATATATATATTAGGTGTTGGAATTGTGTATAACCATCTTATGTAGTTATATTTTCTATAGAATAATTTTTTAATTTATATATTAATGTATTACCGCGCGGACACGGTGGTCGTGGAGGTAGGTCTACTCCGACTCCAATTACTTCATACTCTTCTCCAGATCCTATAGATACAGATACACGTGGATGAGGATCGATCGTAAGAGACTGGTTTAATAAATCGGCTACTGCTTCCTCAACAGGTCGCTTCACTGGTTCTTTATACACTATAATATTAACAAACAATATGATCATGTATTATAATATATCATTGTGTTTATGTTCATAAAAACACACACTGCATTATAAATGTATTGAGTGAAGATCATTAATATATATCCGCTTACACCAGATATCTGCAAGTTTGCTGAATGCCTCCATTGTTGTTTCATAAGGACGATTGTGTAAGTTCTTTACAAACTTCCACACATAATCAGAAGTGTTTTCTTGAAACAGATCCAACTCAGCAAAAGATTTCTTCAAGACAGTTTCAACTTCATCCATCACCAGATATAAATTCTTATCCGAGCGTGATTTTACAAATTTGATGAATCCTTTTAACGAATTAATGAAACTTTCAGCGTTAGCCAACTGAAAGAAGGCAACGTAGGTAGTACCATCCCTCTGCATAAATATGAGCTGCTGTCCGCCGTGATTCACGCGAAATGACTTTAGATCAGAAAACAATATTTTAACGGTCCTCGTACGTCCAAGAGAGTCTGGACCCTCTGAGTTCGTGCGAGTCCTCCTCGTATGAGTATCCACTAAGGACCATTCTGGATCTTGATCTTGGCATTCTGATACCACGGAATCTTCTACTGGTTTCCATTCTATGCACTTGCCAAAACTCTGCAATGCAAAAATAAAACCCCTTACGATAATTTTCTCCATATATACATAATATTAATCCAATAACAAAATTTTACATATTCCACAATATTAAGCGTTCCTGAACTGTGAACCTCGTCTTCTCTGGCATTCGCTCCACGAAGCACAACGCCCGTATGGATGCAGAGATCCTATCAACAGAATTAATGACAGGTCAACAATTCTGCAGGAGATAACATACTTTCCAACAAAAGACACAGATAACACAGTAAATCATTCGTTGCTTTCTATTTACAAAAACTCTGATAATTTTCATTTGCGTCATAACTCAGTTGAATGCATGTTCTTTTTTATTCTGAGAAATAAGATTCAATTGAGCTTTTACCTGTAATCTGTACAAGTTGGAGACCATGTGCTTTATTAACTTTTGTTAATTCATGTTAAAAGTGAGATTTAATAAACCTGTGTTATCATGCAATAACTTTGTTACCAAAGCAAATAGTGACGTCATTATCTGAGTATTAAATACATAGTTTTAAATGACCCTATGTGATCAATAATACTGTCAGTATTAACAAATATTGATAATATAACTGATTGTGTGTCATTAATATTGATGAATTGAGGTAGAATACTAACAATGATCTGGATTTTGATTCTCAAGAATTAATATCACTTTATTAAGATGTCACAATGCAATAAAATATAGATAAGGTAAGTAAAACTCAAATGAAATATACTATCAATAATATTGATCGTGTAAAGTTGTAAAAATACTAAAAATATGCATACACTATCAGTATTACAGATCAGTATTATTGACTGTATAGTTTAGTTATAGTACCTTTACTCAGTCTCACTTGTGTAAGCAACTATTATATCCTTATTGTTTGCCAATGTTAAACAAAGATGGAATGGTCACTGTGTTACACTATATCTCTCGCTGGAAAGCACCAAGTAACTACATCTCTAAATATAAAATCGCAGGCCTGGAATGCAAGTGTCAAATGCGTCGCAATTAAAAACACTAATCAACAACAAATTACGTACTATTTATAAACAGTTAAAAAATGTCAAATTGTATTCATAATTTCGACATGAGACCACCCGCGCGATTTTTCCTGCGAGACCGAGGAATTACGGGATGTGCTGTGCGTTGATCGTCCGCGAGATACCTAACTG